GAGAAGAAACTTTATCTTCCATTATTAGGGATATGACCTGAAAGATTGGATGAGACTGAATGGAATTTGTTGGATCGACAAGTTATGAGGGTTATTCGATTGACCCTATTGAGGTTCGTTGCACACAACACCGTCAAGGAGAAGACAACTGCATTCCTCATTGCAGTCTTATCAGGTATGTATGAAAAGCCATCGGAGAATAACAAGGAATAATTGGTTATTCAACTTGAAGATGGTGAAAGGTGTTTCTGTTGCTCAACACCTAAATGATTTCAATACTATCACAAATCAATTGTCGTCTATTGAAATTAATTTTGATGATGAGATACGTGCGCTAATATTGTTGACATTGTTGCAAAATAGTTGGGAAGCCATGAGTTAGCAATTCAACAAGTAAATCTAAACTGAAATATGATGATATTCGTGATTTGAATTTGACTGAAGAGGTGCGCAGAAAAGATTCTGGTGAGATCTCAAGTTCGTCGGCACTGAATGTTGATTTCAGAGGGAGATGGCAGGACATGAACTCAAATAGAGGGAGATCAAAATCAAAGTCTGATCAGCAAGCAACCTGCTGAAATTGTGGCAAAGCTGACCACATAAAGAGGAACTACAAGAATCCCAAGAATATGGAAAATGATAGTACAAATATGGTATCTGAAGAAGTACAGGATGCACTATTGCTGGTATTTCATAGTTCTATTGATGATGGAAGTGAAGATGAGAGTGTCTGAGGCATCTATTTCTATTGTTTCACAGACATATTGTGAAAAACCACAGAGTTATGAGGAAATCTTGCAAGATCAAGCAAGTGGGAGCTGACAGAACTTCCACCATGGAAGAAGACATTACACAACAAGTGGATGTACCGTGTGAAGATTGAGCGTGATGACAATAAGAGATACAAGACTAGACTTGTTGAAAAAAACTTTCAACAGAGGCAGGATATTGTCAAATGCAGTGGGAGTTATAAGCAAAGACAAGAGTAATCTAGGAAATAGATTGGAGGTACAAAGCTATGATTGGAGGTACAAAGCTATGTTGACCCTACTGATATGTTGACTGAGGGTGTTACTCTTGAGAAACTGAAATTGTGCACAACTTCAGTTGGTCTTCTGGTGTGAAGATAAGGGCTTTGAGTTGCGAAGGTGGAGGATTCATGTTTGAAGAAAAAGTCGACGCGACCAATAGATGATATCAGTTTGAGAAAGAAGACATTGTTGCATGTGTATCGGTCTCGAAGATTTGTTGTGCTAGAGCCCGATCCAGTCTCCCGCTCGATCGCGATGTGCCGCTCCCGCTCTGTCGTGAATTGTTGTGACCGCTCCCCCTCGCCTCTTTAGTTCGCGACACCTGTTCTCGCTCCACCTGCTAACGTGCGCGAAGCAAAGTTTCGCTTCCTCCGATCGCGAATATTCGCGGCGTCTGCCGCTTCCTTTTCGCGATAAAATGCTTCGAATGGCTCTCCTTAAGTTTTCGTAGCACTGCCTTTTGTTTTCTTCGGTGATTTTTGCTTCCACGGGATAGAAGAAGAGAAGTGCATGGTGTAGTTCCTTGCTGTGAAGGAAGAAGAAAGATGAAGAAGAAGAAGATTGTTCTCCATTGGTTTCTTTTTAGTGGCTTGTAGCAGAAGAAATTGAGTTTATTTCTCTTGTAAGTTTATCTTTTTCGGTGTATCTTGGTGTAGAGCTTCTTTGGTGTATCTCGGTGCAGAGAGAGAAGAAGAGAGAGAGAAGAAAAACATAAAGTGAGAGATTCCTCTTGTAAGTCGAGACAATCGAATAGTGTAAATTCCTCAAGTAGTAAAATCCCCTGCAACTCCGTGGACGTAAACAATTTGTCGAACCACATAAATTTGTGTATTCCGTTGTGTTACTGTTTTTTGGTGTGAATTTGCTCGTTCTATTTTTTGTTTCGTCAAAGATCGTTCCCCTATTTTATTTTTATTTATATACCATAATGACTAGTATAACTCACAACAGCTTGAAAATTGATTTGAATTTTGGCCCGGATCAAGATTGCATAGAAATAAAAAAGCTGAGCTATACGCCTAAATCATGAATCCATTTTTTTTTTCGAGCCATACACTGATCGGTTCAATCTGGGTCGAAATTGACTCAAAGTCGTCTTTACTTATAAAAACTATATATATTAGAACGTAGTAGGAGTATAATTTTTTGTATAATTTATTTGTATTCTTTCGTTTAAGCTAAATCAATTGAATAGGAGTTAGCTAATTTTGATTTCTGAGTTGAAACAGATCTGAATAACCCAATTGATGCCAGCTTGTTTCGGTTTCGAGCCAGATGCAGTTCGATTGAATTTCAAACTGAGCTGACTTGAAATCAAATATATCAACACAAGCCGATTTCGAGCCACACTCAATCTTATTCGAGTGGATTTCGAGCCGACCCCAGCTCGACTTGAAGTTGGATCGTTCACAACCCTAATTAGAGCATCCTTATCATATAATGGTCACTTAGAAGGATTGAGTTCGGACCCAAACATAGTGTCAATTTGTAGATCATTCCTTGAAGCTAAGCCCAACTTACTCTGTGCAGAACTTGGACATAATGATCATTCCAATAAGCTGTAGCAGTCCATCCCCTCCTCTGTTCTATTTCTACCGATACTCTTTCTTTATTATTTTCATTCTTGAAAACGTGAGGCGCATAATAACGAATCCATTCCAACAGTACATATATTCACTTACGTAGTGCTTATATACTATAATATAATGCCAGCAATGTTGGCATCCATAACTAGACTATATTCATGTACTATTAAAATGATAATAAAATTGCGAGAACCTTCATGGATGCTACTCTCCAATTTATTGCTTAAAAAATGGACGAGACTATCCATTATATAACTATATATGAAGTCAAGGCATACGGATTGATGGAGTCATTAACTTTGTCCGATCGTGCAATAACCAATAATAATAATCATCTACGGTTGCCTGATAATTGGCACATGGGATTAAGTAATGTAGATATGGAGAGTTTAGAGAGATAAATAGCTAAAAAGATTGCTTATACTCTTTTAGCCAAGATGAGTTGAATGAAGTTACTGTGAATTGAGTTACGAGTCATTTGAGCTGAGTCAAGCCCAAATTGAATATATTTTTAATAGGTTTTTCCGTGTTTATTTGAATATTGTTATGAGATTAAGGCTGTAAATAAAGGAATTGAGCCGAGTACTAGTTTGTTAAAGCTCCTTCATTCATTTTCTTATCGAGTTCTAGCCGAAAATGATATAACCTAAATTTTTGTAATTCTTTTATCAAGTTTGAGCCAGAGTTGAGATTTAATGAGCTTAATTAATTATAGGTTTGATGATAATGTTTTTTTAGAATATAGGTTAATGATTAAACATAATTGAATTTATAGATCTTAATTATAATTGAGATATTAATCATATAGTAGTTAAGGAGTTAGTTTGGATCATTTTTGTTTTTTTTATTTTGTATCTTAATTTGAAACAAATGCTATTTGATTAAAGTATGATTGGTTTTGAAAACACTCAAAATATTTAAAAGTTATCTGGAGTTTTTTTAAGAACATGTGAATTTGTTTTTAGAAATAAAAAACACATTAAACAAACATAATTAAACAAACATATTTAAGAAAGTTACAAATACGATTCCAAATAGGCCCTATGCTATTTGACGAAGTTTAAATATATATGAAAAATTTTTAACTCCCCCTGTCTGGTCATTTATTCGATATTTTTATTATGCCTATACCTCTAAAAGTATACCTAATTTAAAATGTATAAGACATGTAAAGTTAATATAAATCTCTAATTCTAGTAGGAGTTTCTCTAAACTCAATTATGAGTGTTGGAGCTTCATTGAACGTTTAGGCAATAAATTCTTATTTTATCGCTTTAACATTTCCAAAGACGTGGAAGCAAATTTAAATTTCAAGAGCATATAACAAAAACAGACCTCTATCCCACTAAGTGAGCTTAGTTACATGAATCCTATTTCTCCATTGTGACTTATTGAGTGTCATGTTTTCATTTAATTCGAATAGATTAAGATCATTTTTTATACAATATGTCAAGTCTTCTTAAGCCCAACTCTACCTTTGTTAGCATAAATCAAATCTAAAACATCTACTCTCCTAATAAGATCATTGCCTAACTCTACCTTGGTTAGCATAAATCAAATCTAAAACATCTATTCTCCTAATAAGATCATTAGATGGTCGGTGTTTAATGGTTTTTTTTTCTTGTACGTATTTCTTCTTCTTTGGTGTTTCTGATCAAACCTTCTAAGACAACTGTTTATTATCTTGTCCTCAAGTGGAGCTACACCAACTCTATCACGGATATATTAATTTTGCATTTTGTCTCTATGTCTCAAGCTTGATACGTCATCAATAAATTTTCATCATTCGACACGTATATCGAGATATGACATGAATCTCGAGATAATATCTTGAACAAGAAATATTCAAATCTTGATAAAAAGTCATCCAGAACTCTGATTTCAACAAACTTGTAGTCAAATTAATCGGTTCGATGAAACATACCCAATGATATAAAAGTTAGTCCAATCCGAGTCAAATCAAGCCCAAATTAAGTGATTAAATCATTCTTGGAAGATTTTCCGGAGGCATTTGGGCATTTGAAAGGACAAACAGATGTCGAATCTAACAAGTTTATAGTTGAATCGAGCATCTCGACAAGACGAATCCAATGAGCCTAAGATTGCTCAATTCCGACGTCGTTAAGGCAGTCAAATGTCCATCAAACGTCATATGATCAAGGGAAGCTCTCCGAACCGTCCGATCAAAATGGTTCATATTCTAGCATTAATTGCACCCAATACACTATAAATAGAGCTCCATCCCTCTCATGAGTGGGGAGGAAGTCTAGAGAGAGCCTGAAGTCTTGAGGAGAAGCTGTTGTTCAGCATCACCACAGATCGTCGGCGACCGCTGCCGACCTCTGTCGATCACCGCCGGCCACCGTCGATTATTGCTGATCACCGTAGACCTTCGTCGACCACCGCCGATCGTCATCGAAGCACCGCCGGCCTTTGTTGATCGTCTGCGATCACCGCCGACCTCCGTCGACCACCGCCGACCACTGTCAATCATCGTTGACTGTCATTCACCGTTGATCATTGCCAATCTCCTTTGACTGGACACCGTCAGACAACGCTGTAATATGAAAATCTAGTAACCCTTTCCTGTATGTGGGACAATGGGTCGTTGTAATCATCAACATATAGTGTATTCTTATAACTAAGTGATGCCCCATGGTTTTCTCCCTTTACGGGTTTTCCACGTAAAAACTCTGCTGGTGTCATTAGTGGTTGTTTTACTTTCATCTGAGCGTGTGTTGAATTCTCGTACAACGCTAATACGATAATCCATTACTCTACCGCTGTAAATTTTCTAGCATACATCAAAGCTACTCATCCACTTAAGTATTCTCATCTCAGAAACACTTAACTTTTTAAATTTCAAATGCATGTCAAATAAATGCTAATTATTTTATTTCGTAAGTTAATATTTCACCTAAATACCTACTTTTCTCAACGTGATCTTTGCCACATTTATGATGTAGGCATTTTTATTATTTTTTATTCACATGGCAAAATAATAGGCCACATGGAGTCCTGCTTAAACTAATGAGGCTAAATTTGAACATAAGATAAATAGTCTAGACCTACTAAGTTTGTCTAGATAAAAGAAAGTATTGATTCAAGTTACTGAGCTCTTATATGGTGGACTCGTCACTTAACATCTGAATCAAAATAGTTATTATCATCATTATGATAAATTTAAAATAATTCCTTGTCTATCAAATTTATAAAGAGATAATTACATACAAATCACCCGAAACATTCATATTTAATTACTCAGATAATTTTTTTGAACTACCAAACTATTATTTTTATGCGCGTCATGATCAAATAATTGAAAATTTGATATAAAATGAAATTATGGTCAGGGTTTTACGTAAAATTTGATATTTAAGTGAGAACTTGAAAAGGTGGATGAAAGTGGGGGTTTGACTTGTAAATATCAAGTTTTCAGTGGCTTGTATGTAATTGTCCTATTTATAAAAAAATATTTCAAACACATAATCAAAAATTAATACAAGGTGCGGTGAAATATAAAATTAATATGTGGTGATTATTAAATTAAATATATAATTAATACCAAATCTATATATTTAAATATTTAAATATAAGAGAATAAAATTTTTAATATATTTTATCATACTATAGAATATAGTAAAAATTTAAAACTCATTTATAGCTCTCTAGCCATCCCTTGGTTCTAGGGCTGTAAACGAGCCGAGCTTGAGCGAGCTCAGGCTAGGCTCGTGGTCAAATTTAAAATAATTCCTTGTCTATCAAATTTATAAAGAGATAATTACATACAAATCACCCTAAACATTGATATTTAATTACCCAGGTAATTTTTTTGAACTACCAAACCATCATTTTTATGCGCGTCATGATCAAATAATTGAGAATTTGATATAAAATGAAATTATGGTTAGGGTTTTACGTAAAACTTGATATTTAAGTGAGAACTTGAAAAGGTGGGTGAAAGTGGGGGGTTAACTTGTAAATAGCAAGTTTTCAGTGGCTTGTATGTAATTGTCCTATTTATAAAAAATATTTCAAACACATAATCAAAATTTAATACAAGGTGTGGTGAAATATAATATGTGGTGATTATTAAATTAAATATATAATTAATACCAAATCTATATATTTAAATATTTAAATATAAGAGAATAAAATTTTTAATATATTTTATCATACTATAGAATATAGTAAAAATTTAAAACTCATTTATAGCTCTCTAGCCATCCCTTGGTTCTAGGGCTGTAAACGAGCCGAGCTTGAGCGAGCTCAGGCTAGGCTCGTGGTCCATCAAATCCAAGGGGCTATTTGGATGTAAATAGGGTTGTAAACGAGCCGAGCTTGAGCGAGCTCAGGCTAGGCTCTTGTTCGGCTCGTTCGAAATAGCTCATGTTCGAAATCAGCTCGTGTACAGTGTGTTCGTGCTCGGCTCGATTTAAATATTCGTGTTCGTGTTCAGCTCGAAATTGACTCGTTAAACTAAAATTGAGAAAAATAGATGTAAAGTGTGAGATTCGAACCTAGATCAAATCTATAAAAAAAAAGACAATAACCACATTAGCACATGAGGTGTTATGATTTAAATTTAGATATAAATATATATAATATATTATTATATAAATAATATATGTAATATATTGTTATATAAAAAATTATATAATTTTTTTTTAGAGTCATTTCGAGCCGAATAAGAGCGAACAAAGTGTTGTTCGTGTTCGGCTCGTTTACATTTCGAGCTTCGAGCCATTTCGAGCCGAATAAGAGCGAATAAAGTGTTGTTCGTGTTCGGCTCGTTAGGCTTAATAAACGAGTTGAACACCAGTTGTTTATGAACAACGAGCCAAATTAACTGCCCTACCTGGTTCCACTATGAATAAATATATAATTTGATAAAATTTTAAATTATTTTTCTGTACTCTTAATATAATGATTAATGTATATTAAATTACATTAAATCAGGTTAGTAAATTCTCGTGAGTCGCTGAACTGGCTCGTCGGCAAACACAACGTCATTCTTTGGGAGGGCTGAAGCATGTGTGGACAAGTTGCTCAAGTACCTGTCGGATAATAATAAATCTTCTTGAAAACCTCTTGTGGCCAGCCACCAGACTGCGCTCTCCCTCTCTCATATTCTCGCTGTCTTCTTGAAGTTCGCTTGGAGGGTTAATGGATATGAAGCGGATTCGGCGCACACAGCATTCTCCGACGATCACGCCGGATCTGGAGAACGATGGCGGCAGTTATCGTTCCGCCGCCGAAAAGAAGCCCAGAGGCCAAATGCTTCGGTTTGCGATGATGCTTATTGGTTTTCTGGTGCTTCTGTTTCTAACGGCAGCCATATCTGGATTCCACCCTAATCTTTCATTCAACCAGCTTCGGCAATTTACTGAAAGGGGACATTTCGAGTTAAGTGCAAGTAAGTATGCGAATTATGGCTTAGATCTTGAGAAGATAAGCATAATAAATGTAGTATTTGCTTTGAGATGAGTGTAACGTAGGTGTGGTCAATCCAAATTTTAATTAATTTGAAATCGATTTTTATAAAAAAGTTGGTCGGCATTTTTTTTTTTTTGAAAAAATATGTAATGTCTGCTGTTAGCGTGTTTTAAGAAGATTTGGGGCTGTTTGGGTACAGGTAGGATTTAGTAGATCTTGCAAATCGTGTGATTGAAGTTATGTGTTAATAAAATCTGTTGAAACTTTAAATTTGTTTTGAGTACATTCGCTTGCATTGCACTCTTCTCATAACAAGCCCAGTGATTTTAAAATCACGCTGTTCGAAGTTTTGTGTTGATATCAACAACCGATTTTTTTTTTCCTTTTAAATCTAGTTAAACCTAGTAAGTTTTTTGGTATATATTTAAATCCTGTAGAGTTTTTGGAGTATATTTTCAAGATTTTGGATTTAATTAAAGCTGGTGGAGAGACATAATGAGAAGGGTCTAAATCTCTTGAATCCCACTTCACCTATAATGGGAGGAAAATGAAATTTGGGACTGCGTGGCTCAAAAATTTGTTTGGTAATATTTAGCCTAAAGCTTGGCTAAATCTTGTGACCAATCAACCTTTTGGTGTTTCAAGTTTATATTTCACAGGGCATTTAGTTCCTCGATCCAATTTTTTCTTAGAAAATGCCATTTTTTATTTAACTTAAACAAACATATTGTTGCATGCAAAAGTGTCTGGGAAACACACCCAAGGGAGGAAACGTTCTGTTTGGAAGTGATTAGGAGAGAGAGAGAGAGAGAGTAAAAAGATAGTTTCTTATTCATGACATTGACCCCTATTTATGGGCCTAAGTCCCCTCATTATTAACTTTTCAGGAGATTTTTTTTGGTAATTACAGAGTTATTTGCATATAATAAGATCAGTGACCAATTCGATCGATGAGAGTTACGAATTGTCTGGTAAGCCTTGACTCGATCGATAACTAGTCTGAATGAGTGCTCCCCGTTGATCATCCTGAAGGCTGATTACCGCTCTGCGGGAGCTTCTCCTGGTGTCTTTTGTCGATCGTTCGAACAAGATGTTTCTCTCGCCAACATTCATCCAAAAACGATCATCGAAGGCTATGTTCGATCGTCCGCTTCTATTTCCTTAACCGTTCATCTGCTTTGACATTCACGCTGGCACATTTTTATATGTACACATATTAAATAGTACTTTCATCTCATATATTAGTTTTGAAGCTTAAACAATGGATTTACTTCGTGTGTTCTGTATCATTTGTGTGTGGAACTAGTTCTAGGATTGTAGTTGATGTCTGGCTAATTGTGGCTTAGTTTTTTGTCAAGGCAATATTGGGTCTGGTCCAATGTGAAATAATTGTGCAATAATAATGTATTGATATGGTAGAGGTTGGGTGTTAAAGCTTTTGGGAAGCACAGGTTATTAATCACACCTCTGTGGCAGAATCTGATTTCAATTCGCATTGTAGGTTAATTTGTATCAGAATTGAAAGTTACATTTATACCTTGCATTGCTTGTGATAGAGTGTGTTTTGTGTGCCTCTTTGCTTAGGACACTATATAAGATGTATGAAAGCTGAAGGAGTAGCTGAGCTCAATTGATCAATACAAATAGGGGCTCTCCATTTTGTGTAACTTTCTTATGGTTGAATGAAATTTGAATTTCTTATATTCCTTACCCTTGGTGGAGTGAGATTTTTGATTGATGCGGTTACTTTTGTTCTTACCGTTGTGATATTGATATCACATTTTTGAGTCACAGAACTAATTTCTGTCCAAGCGACAAAGTATTATTGTGCATATAATCCATCCCCTTTCTTATGGACAAAACAATTAATTTTTATGCTGAAACGCCTCCAAGAGTGAATATGATGAGCTAAAACAGATTGATAGACGTGATCAAGCTTCAAAAGAGAACGACAACATTTATCTTGTTCTACCAAAATAAGCCTCTCCTTTATTATTTCTGTTAATTTCTCTCTTCCCTATCTCTTTTTCTTTGAAATTGTATTTATCTTGTTCTACCAAAATAAGCCTCTCTATTATTTCTGTTGATTTCTCTCTTCCCTATCTCTTTTTCTTTGAAATTGGCCAACAATCAAATTTGACAAAAAGCAAAGAAAAATTAAGGGAACTACTTATATATATGAATTTTTTTTTTTTTTTTTTTTTTTTTTTTTTACTTCAGCCACAACTTTTTCTACTTTAGTTTCATTGTTTTTAAGCTTCGAAATTGAAACTGCAATTTTTTGTCTTTGTTGGATAGATCAAAGCCAAATTGGCCACCCAATTGTGAATGTAAAGTTTGTTACCTAGTTGCTAGTGATTTGCTGTATTACTGTTGTCTCTATTCGAGTCCAAGCAGAGAGAAACAAGATATGAATTCCTCTTGATGGAGTACAACTGCAACCATAGGTTTGCATGGCTTTTCAAATGAGAGGTGCTGTGACTATTTAACATATTATCATTGCAGATTTAAGAATTAGCTTTGTTTAACTCTAGTTTTGATTTTGGTTAAAATAAATCTATTAAAATTTATCCCGACTTTGATAGCAACAAGTATGCTCAAAATGATTTTCAAAATTAAATCCTAGAGGGAGGAACTTCATATTTTTTTGGGCGAGGGAGTTAATTTTAAAAATTCAATAATCTTTCCTTTGAAGATTAGATTGTTGATGTATTGCCAGGAATTAATTAACATTTTGCAGCACCCTAAAATGTATTCTAAGCTCCAAAAGCCCTTAAGGGCTGAGCACCTCACGACATTAGTGATTCCATACGACATCTGAGCATAAACACTCTGAAGAGACCTCTAAAGCGTGTTTGTTGAACACCAAGATTAATCTGTTAATATTGAAAGAGCACTTGTCGCTACATATCTTTGATTACAAAGCATGTTTGTTGCTATGGATAAATACTTGAAGATGTTTCAAAATTTACAACCACCATTGTTCAAGGGAACTGAAAGATAAATTGAAACGAAGAATTGACTAATGTGTATTGAAAATATATTAGATAGCCTGACATATTCGGATGAATGGAAGGTACCACTAGCTATGTTTGTACTGGATGGAGAAACATAAAGGTGGTAGCGAGGGCAACGTCAAGATATATTAGGGGACATACTGTATATGATAGTAAATTGAAAAGATTGTTTGAATTTATTTTGACATTGATTTGTGTCTCTATTTTTACGAAGGCGGGTGTACTACATGTTCATTAGGTTAGTACAGGGAGAGAAGAAAGACGTGGTATAAGATAAAATTCATTTGGCCATCGAGGTATGCACTACAACTAATGTTCATCGCAGAAGAGAAGTGTTATAGGTTTCTTTCTTGTTTGAATGACTCGATCATATAACTTTTGGTGTATTTGGGGTTCGATGACTATTCTGTATTAGTGGAATTGGCCTAGTGTTGAGAAATTTATGGCGAAGAAAAATAAGGAATCGACACAAAACCAGAAGAACACAAAGATTTACGAGGTTCGACAAAGATGCCTACGTTCTCGGGAGCAGAGCGACAAATTCATTATTTCAAAGGAGTCAAGTTCATACTCATATGGTTACACATCATATATATAGATAAAACTCACAGATAAAATTATCAACTCGCCATCTCAACTCGCCATCACTCTCCCCAATCCACTAAGGCCCCGTTTGGGACAGCTTAAATGTGCGTCAACTCGCCATCAGTCTCCCCAATCCACTAAATTCCAAGAGACGCTCATTTTCATTCCATGAGACACATCTCTTCAACCAAGAGAAATCTCTTCACTCCAAGAGACTCCAAATTCTGGTATATGAGTCATACCTAACACCTAGAGGTTGGAGATAGATTTTCAAATTACTAAGAAGCATTAAGTAGGTTCACAAGATGAAGTGTATTGATGAAAGTGATTATGTGGCTCAAATAGAGGAATCCTGGGAAAAGAAGCTCAAATTCAATTTTGGTGGATTTAAGAATGATACAACTCGTAGTTGTCAATCAGGAAGGACAGAAATCAGACAACTAAATTAGGAGTATTCTATAATTAGGAGCTTCCTTATTTTCAATATCTTTATTCTGATTTATTTCCCTTTTAGCTGAATATTTATATTAGAAATATGTATTATTAAGTTACCTAAAATATATTATATGCACTTTATTTTGTACTTAAAATAGATTGTAAGATTGTTATTTAATGGAATGACAACAACGGGCGGGAAAAGACAATCGAGCATATTCAGAATTCAGTCTATTTTTTCTCAAAACTTTGACATGTCTCAAAACTTGGACATGATATCAGAGCCAAGTTTTTGCCTTAACCACTTATTGGAGGAAAGTCAAGACTCCCTTCCCGCCGGCCTTCTTGCGAGAAGGGAGGAATTATTTCTTTGGCTTGATTCTCGCTCTTCTGCTTTGTCTAAAACCCTGCACCACAACCATGCCTTCCGCCGGAGAGGACGATCTCGCCGCAGGAGACGACGAAGTCACTGATAGCGAGGAAATGATCGGCATCAACAAACACATCCACATCCATCGGCAAATCGCCGATACAAGCGGAGGAGAGGAATCCCGACGGATATTTCAGAAGCTGTGGACTCACGCAGACGAGATGAAGGTATTGCAGGGATTTTTGGAGTTTACGTCGAAGAGGGGAACGACACATGCCAACTACCAGCATGACACGGGACCCTTCTTCAACGAGATCCGGCCTCGGCTATAGTTCGATTTGAATAAGAACTAGATCGTGGAGAAACAACGCCGTCTCAGAAAGAAGTACCGCAATGCTGCCGCCAAGATGGGATCGGGTCGGGGGTTCGTTTTGAATAGCCCTCACGATCGAGCTACCTACGAGATTTCACGTAAGATCTGGAGCACCACATTTTTCCGCCTAGGATTTCTCTAGTGCCACAACTGCGCCTCTCTCCTCCGCGAGACTCGATTCCCATTCATGGAGGTTGTTG